AGCAGGGAGCCCGATGCGGGACTCGATCCAGGGACTCCAGGATCATGACCTGAGCCGAAGGCAGTCGCTTAACCAACTGAGCCACCCAGGCGCCCGAAAGTAATTTGGTTCTTTAATCACTAAATCAGGTAAGGATTAGGAATTTGTGATTTTTTAAAAAAGATTTTTATTTATCCATTTTTCAGAGAGAAAGAGAGAGAGCACAAGCAGCGGAAGCAGCAGGCAGAAGGAGAAGGCTCCCCACTGAGCAAGGAGCCCAACGTGGGACTCAATCCTAGGACCCCGGGATCATGACCTGAGCCAAACGCAGGCACCCAACCAATTGAGCCACCCAGGTGTCCCAGGAATTTGTGATTTCAATGCCAAAGTGAAACTATTGAAATGATACATTACCTAATAGTCGTTGAACTACGCCACAGGAAAGTTCAAATAGGTATGGCAACAGAGGGTAGGTGTTAAAGGACCTGTATTTAGGAGGCATATTGCTTGGGATGTGTGTTACCTGTTATATGTCTACATTTGAAAAATTCTTTAAACTCTCTGTATTGTAATTACCTCATCTCTAAAATGGGGATAATTATCTACAGTTCAAAATGTTGTGAAGATTAAATGAGTTAATATAGAGAGAACAGGGGTGCCTGGGTGGCTTAGTTGGCTTAGTGGCCGAATCTTGATTTTGATTTTGGTTCAGGTCATGATCTCGGGGTCCTGGGATTGAGCCCCGCTTTGGGCTCCATGCTCCATGGGGAGTCTGCTTGAGGACTCTCTCTCTCCCTCTCCCTCTTCCCCTCCCCCCACTTGCACACAATCTCTCTCTAAAATAAATAAATAAATCTTAAAATATATATATGTAGAACATACAAGCCATGCAGTAACATGTTCGATTATATATAACATACATGTTTGCAATTATTATTATTGTTGTTGCTGTTGTTATTGATTCCCACCACACATATTATGGAGACCCAGCATCAAATGAAAATAAGTGGACATCCCCAGACTTCAAGTAAATCTAACCAAAGTTTTCTTATCATTTTCTTATATTTTGCCTGTTTTTAGTTACAATTAGTATTTAATAAACATTTAAGCGATATAGAAATATATAAAGTTCCACAATATGTTCCATTACCACAGCCCTACTGAAGTTCCATTTTATTCAAGTATAGCTTCATTTGTTTGCTAATAATGTCAGCCCAATTTATAAATGAATTAACCAATTCATGATAAATATTATCATCATAATAAATACTATGTACTAATCTATCCTTGGGCCCCAATGCAAGGTTCAGACAACTTATTTTGCCACTGTGAAGCTTATGGACAAAACATCAAACTAAATCTCAGAATCCTGAAATTTTATCCTTTGTGAAATAGAGATTGCCATGCCTACCCCATCATGTTTGAGGGGGAATTGAACATCATAATATTCATGAAGGTGGCTGGCACAGGCTCTGCCATGTAGTTGAAGATCAATAGCACTAATTGAAATCAATGCTAATTGGAATAGCACTAATTAGAATCCCATCCATACCCCCTACTTCTCTGAGCTTGTTGCTGTGATTTTCTTAAGAAGATTTGAACACAAAGTTTTAGCCCAACAAATGTCTCATTAGTACTTGGTGAACAGAACTCACTTTCATGAAAATAAATGTTCCAGAGATGGGTGTTAGAGATTGAAACCTTTTCATTAACCATAACAGCACCAGTTACAGAGTTATTTCAGCTGCATTTCAATTTGTAATTTAATTCAGTAAGTCACAATGAGAATTACTAAAAAGCAACCTAATCTGAGTTCTTTAAATTCTTTTAACTTGGCATTATATACTGAGCAAATGGATTTATTAAGAAAGCTGCTTATAAGGCATGATATCCTGATTCAGATACTAACCTGTGATTTTTAAAGCTTAAACATAATACATGCTGAGTGTGATTTTTAAGGTAATAAAGATAAGGTAATGAATGGAACACTAGACTTTGTGTTAAAAAATTAATCTCTAACTGGATGACCTGGACTTAATCTTTACTTTTTAAGTCTATAAAATGTGTGGTTATGGGGATGTAAAAGGAGATTATAATAGACATCTCCTATTTTCTTGACTGGTGTTTTTGCCAAAAAAAAAAAAAAACTCTACAAGGAAAGTCTTACATACAGTCAAGACATTATTACTTTAGGAATTGGGAACCTCTGGTTGGAGGAGCAAGATGGCGGAGGAGTAGGAGATCTAAATTTCCTCTGGTCCCAAGAATTCAACTAGATAGGGATCAAGCCATTCTGAACACCTC